AACCTTTAACTTGTTGAAACCATTATTTTAAGGTCATTTGCCAGAGAGTCTCGGGGTTTGTCTTATGACTTGCTGAGTATCTCAGTATTGCTAATTCGATTAATTGCTATTGTTTATTTCGTCGTCGATATAGTTTTATAGAATAATACCTTGTTCGTATTTTTACATATTCTTGTTAGTTTATTAATACCATATAATTACATAAAATAAATCTAAAAAAATCATCTTTGTATTAAAATGCAGAAAAGATATTCTCTAGCCTTCCTCATTTTCTAACAGAGATAGATCACCTGATTGGATGATGAGACTAAAAATCTACTCCTAGTTTATAGATAAAAAATTGGCATCTCGCCGAACGGTTGTTAGAAGGGCGAAATCTCTAGGTCGCGTCGCGGGTCGGCAGTAATAAATAATTTACAGGGAACAAAATTGAAATAATTAATAGGAGAAAAAAGGAACGATGGAACAAAATTGAGGAGTAAAACGCCAGCAACGAACTAAGCTGATTAAATGATTGAATTAGAAAATAAATCGTAATTAAGCAATTCTTCGAAACAATTTGTTCCATTCATTACCACATCTTCAAATTCATGCCATCTGATTGATACTTTCTAACTAAACTTTAAATTGGAATTTCAGAAACAATACACACATCGTTCAGAGTTATTTTTTTCTCTTGGGTAACCTAGCGCCAAGGCCAGCCCCCCGTCTTAACCTTAAAAATTTAACACGCCCGTATTAAATTAAAATAAAAAAATGCGGTTAAGTTTGACGAAACAGCAAAAGCTGGATGAAGCATCGATTGCACAAGAAGGAGATAAACAAGAATCGGATTCTATATTAAAAGAAACAATTAATAAGATAATCAAAGTTACAAAACCATCCCGAAGTAATTCAAATAAATCAGAAGTAGAAACAAGACATAATCCAAGACCATCCTTACAAGTCAGTTTCGCTAGTAGTGAAGACTCGAATATTATGAATTCCACAATGAATAATTCATACACTTCACAAGCAGAACCATCTATGCATTCTAAACCAGGGATTACCATTAATGCCCCTCAACCACAAAGAGCAAACACACTCCCTACAAAACCACTGCATCCAATTCAATCTTCAGATTCTTTCACACAATCAACTACACGGCGACAAACTTTAGGAGTACCCAATTCACAAAAGGAATCAGCCACGTCATCCGTTCATGCATCATCTCTGAAGTTGGATCAATCCTCGTCACAACAACAAATTACAAAACCAGAAGCCAATGGATTCTTATCCTCAATATTCAATGCAGCTGCAAATAAAATCTCTTCCTCAGCTCCTACTCAGAATGATGATAATATACGAAGTCATTCATTCTCGAATAAATTAGATACATGGCTCAATGGCAAAGATGATCAACCTAGACAAGATCTAGATGTCCTGTTAAATGACGATGACTCAAGACCTAATGATGTAAGTTCACTTTTATCTGCTCAAGAAGTTCAATTTGAACCAGTTAGAGAATCTCCTTTGAATACATTAGGAAAAGGAGATTTAAGCCTTGCTGATTTTGAATCAAAAGAAGAAATCGTCATTGATTCACAAAGAGATAATTCGACAGCTATAAAAGTAGAAGGGATAAAACGTGCCTTAAGTCCGGACATTACAAATAGAAGTATGGTAATGAATGATGGGATAAAGCGTCCCCACAGAAAATCCATCAATGGAAACAATCTTCTTAATCCATCTTCAACAGCGGTGTCGCTGAATACTGTACCAACCACCAGAAGGAGACGAGGCTCGTCATTGCTAGAAATCAACACCATTGGCAGCAGTGGAAGCCACGCTGATATGAATTCAAGAATGATGGGAGACTTACAACTGAGAAGTACAGAAGGAATTGATGAATATATTGAAACTGACGAGAACCTATCATCTGACGAAGAAGTAGATAACATAATTGATTATACCGAAAAGATTAAGCATGCCCTGAAGAAACGCAATAAAGATTTCCATCAAGTATTTAAAAAACTTCCACCAAGTGAAAAATTAATTGATGAATTTAGTTGTGCAGTATCTAAAGATATATTAGTCCAGGGGAAAATGTATCTAAGTGATCATTTCATCTGCTTTAATTCGAATATTTTGGGTTGGGTCACAAATATAATGATTCCGTTACAAGAAGTTATCCAGATTGAAAAGAAATCCACAGCTGTCTTGTTCCCCAATGGGATGATTATTAGAACCTTGCATCATAAATACGTGTTTGCGACATTTTTAAGTCGTGATACTACATTTGATTTAATCACAAACGTATGGCATCGAGTATTACTCGAGAATTCAGATATCGATCCTCTGAAAATTCAATTGAATGGTACTAAATCCAGAAGAAGGGGAGAATCTAAATTTTCAGGGATTTCTCATCCAACGGGAAGTAGTGGACCTACAGGAGGTGGTAGTGATGATGAAGATAATCAAATAATGTCAGATGAAAATAGTGGAAATCATGAAGGTGATTCATTGATGGATTTTTCAGGTGATAATATGAGTGATTTTGACTCAAATGAAAACAACAATAATGACGGAGAGACTGATAAATCAGGTAAAGAACACGATAATAATAATGAGAGTAGTTCAACTGATATGGAAAAAGAGAGTTTGAAGAATACTTTCAAGGGATTACCTGTCGTTGGTCCTCTTTCCCATCCTCCTACCGAAAATGGATATACAAAAGGCGCCAATGACGTTTTCATTGCTGATGAAATAGTTAAAGCTCCTCCTGGTGTAATTTTCATGATTCTTTTCGGTTCAGATACTTCCAAGATCATTTCCATATTAAAAGATCAGAAAAATTTTGATATTACCGAATCATCAATTGTTGGATTGGATAAAAACACTAAAGAACGTAATTATACATATATAAAACCCCTTGGAGGAAGTATTGGACCCAAACAAACAAAATGTATTATTCAAGACAAAGTTATCAAATATTCACCTGAATCATGTTTTGAGATTGAACAAACTACTCAAACTCCAGATGTCCCTAGTGGGAATTCATTCCAAATAAAAACAAGATTATTCTTCAGTTGGGCCGATAAGAATCAAACGCGAATTTATGTGATTACTTCCATTGAATGGAGTGGGAAATCATGGCTCAAAGGAGCAATCGAAAAGGGTAGCATTGATGGACAAAAGGAGTCTATGAAGTCGATGATTGAGTCATTGAATCAGATAATTGCTCAAGGCGATAAGAAGACTCCAAAGAGAAAGATGACAAGAGGGAGAAGAGGAACCGTTAGTAGAAAGGAAAAGACTCCAGAAGAAGAGAAACTGGTTGTTCAAGCTCAACCTGCGGAGAAGAGTATTATGGGCAAGTTTGTTGATTTGGTTGAATCTATTGGAGATTTGGTTCCGGTTCCGTTTGTGGGAGGGATTATTACTGGTTCTATAATATTGATTATTGGATTTATTATCTCAATAACTTTATTTAATAGAATATTTATAGGTAGACCACAAGCTCATAATAACCTTATTGATATTATACCTGATAACAATGCATATATGTCACATATCAAGATTAAAGATAATCAATATTTAATTATCCCATCAGTCGAGACTGCATTGCAAAATGAGAAAATGGTTCGAAAACAAGAAGTTTCTATATGGAATTGGTTACAAGAAAGAAGTGATGGTAAGTTGAAGTTAAATTTTGATGAAGAAGTTGGTCAATGGAGGGAAGATGATTTGAAACAAAAGTATAGTCAACAAGAATTGAAAGAAATATTACGGTTGACTCAATTGAAATTAGAAAAGATAAGGGAGCAATTGGATTTATAGAGTAATTTTCATTTCTCCGCTGGCAGGAGAGGAGAAAATTGTGAGTAGCTTTCTTATATAGAGTAATAATATGGAAAAAAATAATGGAGTAAATAAGTGTAAGCTTTTTTTAAACGGTATCGATTAAATGATACACTAAGTTTATGAACTAAAATATATGAATAATCTGATCTGTCATTTGGCTTTGCAAAAGTCACGACACCGCTTCTTTCATTTAGAGGAATCCGGAGATAGTACACGTTGTTTAATAGTTAATTTTCATCTGTAACATCAAGTACAGTTTCATTCAATATTTCTTGTCTTTCATAATTAATAGTCATTTAAATCCTTATAATTATTTCATATGTTTAATCTGTAGACATCATGTACAGTTTACTCTGTAGTATTTATTTCCTATTCCTGTCATTTATTGCCCAATACAATTTAGTCAAGAGTTTTGGTTAATTATTATTCTGTTTCATAAATTATCATACACTCATGCTTATTTTTTCTTGTCATTGGGGTTACTATACATTTTACAATTATTATGTTACTNTGCTTATTTTTTCTTGTCATTGGGGTTACTATACATTTTACAATTATTATGTTACTTATATAGTGCCATGGTCAAATGTCACATAAAAATTGATTTTACTTACTTGTAAGATGACGGTGTTAAAAAATATTTTACTTTTTTTGCAATCAATTAATGATTTTTATTACATCTTATGAAAAATTGGTACAACATGATTAAGGAGCTTTATACACCTAGAACTATAAAAGAATTGGCTTCTCCCACCTCCTCCTCTAGATTTGTAATATCCAAGTTTGATTTTTCTTCATTTGGAACGAAATAATCAATTATTAGTATGACTACAATGAACTTAATACTTATTGTGTTCATCACAATTATCAGAGTTACTTGTGGGATTGCCATTGAAGAACCGATCATCCAAACAGGTGGTGGGTTTTTTTACTACGACGACCCTATCGAATTCAATGGCGTTGTTGCCTTTAAAGACACAATTGTATTCGAAATTCTGGGAGCAACCTTTAATAACGACTTTTACTACTATGATTCTAGAACGCCTTCTGTATACAACGAGTTTTATCTGAGTGTATTTGACCTGAATACTCATATAATTGCAAATAAACTGGGGGATTCTTATTTTTATGTATCTATGATTAATAAGAATATAAATCGTGGATATCTCACATTCCAGAATTTGCAGCTGCGATATTTCCGCATCCACGCAAACATGCTGAACGAAGGAGAAATTTATTTGATTGGGAACACTAATATAAGTTTATTTCAAAGTACAGATTTCACCAATGAAGGTACATTTTGTGCAAAGGATGCACAAATCATCATGCACACAGGGGATCCAAAGGGGACGGGTTACTATGTTCTTGAAAACTCCACCTTCAGCTTTCTCGGCGGGGAATTGAACCCTTCTGTCTGCCTCCCAGGTAATGATCATGACACATCGTTGTTGTATTTGCAGCCGCCTATAGGGGGAATCATTAGGATTGTAAATTTTGGATTACTGAATATTTTGAAAATTAGGTCTGAGACGTTTTCCTATGATGAGAATTATTTGATAGCTGAGGGGGATAGAATAGATTTCGGTCCAGGGTATGATTTGAGTAAATTCGAGGGAGAATATGTTCCCGACGAATATTATGAGGGCGGAACTCTTCATATTAATACACGGGAACCATTGATGAAAATGCAGATCGTTATACTTGTGAATGTACTTGTCCCAGCTTACCTCTGACCGAAATACCAAGAGAAATACTCGAAGCAGCTGGTGAATCACAACTAGACCAGCCAAGTGAACCATCATCAGGATCGGATGAAGAGAATTCAGAATCTGACAATCAAGAAGACAACGGATCAGGTGGAACTCCAAATGACCTGGATGAACCAGAAGAGGAAAATGGAGCCAATGTCCTGAACTCGCAGCAAGAAAATGAGCAACCAGCGTCAGTAGAATCAGAACCAAATCAAGTGAATGAATTGGATGGACCATATGAAAACAACTCCCTGTCTCAAGATGGAGCTTCAACTCCTAGTTCTATTGCATCTGGATATGATACAGCTACCAGCTCTCAGAAGGCAGGCGATCAAACTTCAACTCCCGACTCAGGCAATGCTCAATCTACCAGTTCGGAAGTAGACAACCCCAATGACATAAAACCCGCTGGTCCCTGGCTGGGAGACGTAGATGCCGACGATGACCTTAACAAGGATCCTGCTGATTCTGTCATTGAATCCGGAATAGAAGCCTCGAAGATACCAACTATGGCGACAGAAACAGTAATGGTTACGAGTAATTCAGTAGTGGAGAATGCTATGGTTGGTGCTCAAATTGTTCAAAATGATGGATCAGTCGATGACTCTACGTTGGGAACAGATAATGCCCAAATTATCGACACTTTTGAAGGTGGTGCTGCCATTGGGTCGGAGAGAAATGCTTTATATGTGATAGTGATGATCGTGGTTTCTTTGATTGTCGATATTTAAGGTAGAAACTTTCAGCTGTCAGTTTTGGTTATACAATATCAACTAATTATGATATTGCTATTTCGGTATTTTTTTTCTTTATTTTAGTATTTGCTTAATTATAAAGCTTGAATACAAATGTATACTACAATTTGTTCTTTTCTTGCTGGGAAGAATCTTCTAATGATCTTAAATAGTGCACCAAAACCAATGCCTTAGCATTTTCATAGTACTGTATGGTTTAGCAGATTTCGAGACTTTCCTATAAGCGTTGCGCAAACGCTCATACTGTAAAGAGATGTCGAACGTCTTTGAAATATTACTATGTTTTAAACGATTAAGGTCATAAACATCTTTGAAAATTTTTGACTTCAACTTGTAATACTAGAGGATTATCGAATATATCGAATAGTATGAAATAGTCTTTTTTAAAACCGTTTAAATCCGACTAGTTCATTAGTAGATAAGGTTAACCAATAAAATTAAACTGAGGTTATGAGGCTATGAGGCATTTCATCTGAAACTGTAAACGAATAGCAAAATTGAATAAAATCGGCAATGACTCTTGAAAATATATTTTTTTTTGTGAGTGATGATAATTGGTTTTAACGTTCCATGACGTAATAGTCATCCAATTTTTTTTTTTGGTGGGCAAATGGATTTAAAAAAAAGCAATTACACACGACATAACGTCTCTTTATTCTTAATTGTGATTGTTCCTCTCATTGCGTTCCTTTGTTTTTTGTATGCAGGCTGTACTAATTTAATTAAAAAAAAATTATTTTGTTATTCTTTTTCAACCATCATGCAAATTTGGCAAATGCGGGATAGTCATAACACTTTCATCTGTCATTTATCACCCATCATAATCATCATCTCTTTAACTCTATAAGGCATCATTAATTTTCATATTTATTTAATTTGATATTTTTCAAATTATAATTTTCCTTTTTTTTATAAAACCTTCTTCTTCTTTCTTCTGTCTTCTTTCTACAATTGCAACATTTACCTTTTCATTACATAGTCAATCGCTTTAACAATTAACAACACATGTTTATCCTAATAGATATTGCATCAAGCATACTAACAACAATTATACCATTTTTATTAACTATCAAGTCATTGGATTCATCTATTCAATTGCTGTCAGATACATATAGATGCTTATTAAATTATTGGCTATATTATGTTATACTACAATTTATACAATATAATTTGCTTACGAATGTAATAAGTACATTAATATGCTCAGCTGTTAAGGTATGGTTATTCTACAGCAATGATAATACCATCGGCTTATTAAATAATGTCATAATTACAAGAATATTCTTGGATATAGAAAATTTCAAATCATACGAAGAAAAATATTTACTACCAATATTTCGTAGCATTAGACTCAATTCATTGACACAACAATTGGATCAATTGGGTAGTATATATGCTAAGCCTGCTAATTATCAACTCAGATATGAAGGTAATCTCATTGCCACAATCTTGGAGTATTCACTCAATTTAGTATCCATGTTCACCTCGATTGTAAATAATGTGATCTTAGCACCACCACGCAAGCAACAGAGCCAAGAAATTAATTCACAAAAAATAAGATCAAAAACCAAAACATCAAAACCAAGAAGAAGAGGTGCATCGTTTTCAAGATCTGTATCTTCCCAAGAAGAATCTGTTCCATATCCAATTGATGATCAATTTCAACCTAGGAGTGTTTCTGATCCCGAAATGAAGAGAAGAGCTCTTTCTAGTGGTGAATATGATTTGGATAGTTCAATATGGACATTCAGGCAAGATCATGCAAATTATTCAACAAGCCCCGCCCCAAGTATCAGATCCGAGGGGCTGAATGGCACAACCCATCATAGAACTTCAAATCATGGTCATTTTCATGACTCAAGGCCAAGGCGGGATCATGTAAGAGTCGAAGATATTAAAGTTTCTGCCGCGGCAATTGATAAAATCAGGTATAAGTTGTCATCAAGGAGAAGAAATGAATTACCTGCTGCGCCAACTCCATTAGATAGAAGTTTATAGTTTTTTTTTTTTTTTGCTTTGTAACTGGTTAATTAATACACATGGAATACAATGGGAAGCCAATTTGTGTCAACGTTTTTGTGGGGCAAAGAAAAGATAGCCGAAATTCCAAGCTGCGACTGTTTCAACCCTTTCAACGGTTTCAGATATATCCCTCCAGAAACGTACCTGTAGTTTAACATTAGCTAACACAAACCTGGACTGCTTAGAGGTATTGTGCCATGCCAAAATGACGTAAATGTTGTCACTTTTAACTCCACTGGAAATATCTAGATTTCGCATAAGCGTCTTGTTTTAGCCAACGCAGCGCAGTACTTGCTAATGAGGAATCTTGCTTAAATCTAAAATTTCCGTGTTCGCTGTAGATGAAACGACGCATTCAACTTTTCTTGAACGGGAATTTTCATAGATCTAGTAAACCACTTTTGAGAGTGTAGTTTTACTGAACAAAATTCCCGAGGGGTTTGGTAAACAGCAGAAAGCCACATCTTAACCACAAAAAGTCCAATTTTTGAAATTATGTATATCACACATAAAGAGGCGGATCTTCTTTAGAGATTAAGCTAGATTGATAGGAAGGTTCTATAACTTATAAGTAGATTTGAATTCTTAAAGACTTTTGGAAGTTGGTGAACCAATTTTTTTTGGCAACCATTTGCTGCCAAAATTTTTTTTATTCTACGCTGTCTTCTTCTTCATACATATCAAATACTTGAATCTATTCATCTTTTTATACCAATAACTTTAGTGTATAATGACCAAGAGAAGCAGACGCTTAATATCTTCAAGGGATACTTCATCTTCGTCATCCTCAACCACTCCTAACACCACCTTTGAATCGGTCAACACCAGTATCGAAGTCCAAGGCATACCACCAGCTGATTTAGTTACAATCCTCCCAAAGGAAGACACTGCCAACTCTAGACTAACAGAAAAGGAAAAGAAATTAAGCGAACTTATAACTCATTGTTCTCAATTAAGTTCCCAATTAGAGGGTCAAGATGAGCCAGAAGTGATTATTAAAAGACATATTAAACAACTAAACAAGTATAATGAATTGAAAGATTTGGCTTTGGATCTAATTGGTAAGATTGCTGATCTGAGACAAGTTAGGATCAGTGAGATCTTTAAGGAAATGGGGGTTGACGCTAATGATGATGACTAGAGAGGTTTTTGGTGGTTGGTTCCTAAAAGCTGGGTCAGGGTAAATTATGTCTTGAGTTTTATTAAAAAAACTGCAAATAATTATCGCTATGAAATGCTGCTTATTTTCGTGCTGATTCACTAAGAGGCTATGTATTTAAGTCTTTGCAGCCATTTGACAGGAATCTTTTGCCTGCCAAATAAACTAATTAATCCAGTTATTAAGATCACGCAAGCCCAAGAAACATAATCAACGAATGAGCCTCAGCAATAAACATTACATCTCCCTTTGCCGAACAGTTGACAAGATCGTCTAATTTGGGGTTTGTTAAAGAATAGATTTCTTCTTGATTTTATACCCCACCAAGAAATGTCACATGATTACCAAGGTTTTTTGCGGCCTTTCTTTCTGGATTTTGTTGCAATTCTGAACAATGCACACTACTATTTTTGAGTTTAAAACATCATGAATCATAACTAAAATATGATTTGTCATGACTCGATTTCATTATTTAAATACCGGGCCAATTGTTACCTATTCAATAAGAAAAAGGTTGTGTCTTATTGTAACTTTGAAATTATAAAGTCACCCCGAGTTTGTTTGCTCCAGATCAAGTACAAAGTGATAGACACAAATCCGCTAATCCTATAATTATAAAAAATATTTGTGTCTGATACTGTACAAAAAAAAAATTAAAAAATATCCCAAACCGTATTTTTTCTTTTTTTTTAAAACAGAAATAGAAGAAAGAAGATTATTCTAAAGGATTTTTTTTTTTCCCTTCCTCCCTCCAATCCCATTCAGAAAAAATCCCCAATAGATAAAATTTTAATTAAACTCCCTTTCGTAACTCAAGATAGTTGTGAATTATACTTAGCTAATAGAAGCGTTACAGACATACAATATATATATTTAGTGTCATTGACAAAATTCATATTTGTCCATTTTAGATTATAACTAGAGATTTTGGTGTCCTCCCTCATATTTTACTATAGGTCATGCAACTTCTACTACCATTAGTATCAGCATTTATACTACTAATATCCATAGCATATTCATCACCACGACTAGAGAGGTTAACAACAGAAACTCGTAATTACCTAACAGCACAAAATATATACAACCATCAACAACATGCATTGCAGAGTGAATCTGTGGATGTTAATCAGCCAACAATAACCGAACCAAGGCTTTCTCCATCTATAGCTCCTTTGGACTATAGATCAATAGCAGACTGTAAATTAACGGATTTGTTATTAATAAGTGATATAGATGGTAATCTCCATGGAGTTGAAAGGAATAGTGGGTTATTAATTTGGACATTACCGATAGATGAACCTTTGGTGAAAATTAGAACCAATACCACTCAATCACAAGAAAATTCACAAGCAACAAATATTCTTTGGTTTGTTGAACCATACCAAGATGGATCGTTATATTATTTCACACCTAAATTTGGATTGAATAAACTACCGACAAGTATAAAAGATCTTGTAATGGAATCGCCGTTTTCATTAAGTGGAGATGATAAGATCTATACCGGAACAAGAAGAACTTCCTTGTATACAATCAATATACATACAGGAGAAATTAAATCCTCATTTGGAAATGACGAAAAATGTCCTATACCGAATAGTGTCCCCGCTTCTCCATGGAATGGACAATATAAGCCGGATGATACGGTCATGGTCGGAAAGACTACTTATGAATTATCCATTCATTCTAAAACAAACAGTAATATTGTCTGGAATGTTACCTATTCTCAATGGGTTCCAAATAACATTGATAATGACTTAATTATGCAAAATCAACAATCTTTAGACAAATTATATTTCACACCTTTCCATGATCGTTCATTACTTGCGATAAACCAAGACGTGGGGACTCCAATATGGATAAGTAAACTACCAGCATTAGCAGTCAATGTATTTGATGTTTTCAATAATGGGAAAAATAATGAATATGTGTTATTACCTCATCCATTGAAAGTATTAAATGGTTTGCAGCATCAAGAACACGACGCAAACAGCAACGGTTTGGTATTCATAAACAAAACATCGAATTGTCAAGAATGGATAGCAATGAGCTTTACAAATTATCCAACATTAATCAAAAGTGCACCAATATCAAATTATCAAACTATCATAAATAATTATTATCGTGGTCTTAGTGATCAACTACACTTTATTGAAAATTTCCATCTAGCTAAATATCCAGAAGATCAAGTTGAAAGATTGGTTACAGGTATACATCGAGTATTTGAATTAAGCTCAGACACATCATATCAACCAATGCCAAGATTTACCACTTCCAACATCAAAAGAATCGGAGATGGGAGACCACATTCACCCGAAGAACAACAACCACCAGTTGACGCGAATATTGCCGATCAAATACCAAATATCATGGATGGAATTAAATTCCCGGCAAAAATACCAACAGGTTCAGATATAATCTTCCTTGAACCAATAAATGATCATGAATATGAAACTCTGGGTATTGAACCGCCTCCACCTCCAGCTCCAAATACTATCACTACTTCGGCACGTTTCGCTCGTAGGATATTTGAGGATTTGGCGGTGTTGTTGGTTGTGTTTGTGTTATTGATGACATTTGGGAAATCCAATAAGTTTATCAGAAGAATGTTTGGTGAATATAGAGTAGAACAGAAGAATGATCAGGAATCAGGAACTGTGGAAGAAATTAAACAAGAGATAGGCATAACTAAACAAAAGACTAACATAGGTAAGAACGGTACGGTTAATGAAATTGTGGAGGAAAAATTGATTATGTCTAAATTCGCTGATGAAGATGTTAGTGAAAAGACGGTATCTGCTAGTTCAGATTCCTCCAATGAGGACAAATCCACAGTTGATGACCCAAGTCCAAAGAAGAAAGTTGTGATTGTTGAACCGGAATCAACAGAGCACAAAGAAGGTGATGAAAATGACGATATAGATACGGATGCACCAGTTACGAAAAAGAAGAGAAAGAGAGGAAGTAGAGGTGGGAAACGTGGTGGAAGAAGAATCAACAAGAATAAATCTGATGGTGATGGAAGGGATGATGATAATGATGATGAAGATGTTGAAGAAATCATTAGAGAAGACGAAGAAGTCGTCATATCAACAAAGAGTCTTTTAAAAGTCAATCCAGTCCCTCCAAAATCCAAAAAGAAACTTCAAATCGAAAACAACCTTGTTATTTCCGATAAGATTTTAGGATATGGATCTCATGGGACTGTAGTATTTGAAGGAACTTTTGAGAATCGTCCTGTTGCTGTTAAGAGAATGTTACTTGATTTCTTTGATGTTGCCAGTCATGAAGTTCGTCTTTTACAAGAATCTGATGATCATCCTAATGTGGTTAGATATTTCTGTTCTCAATCTTCTGAGTCGGAGAAGTTTCTTTATATTGCGTTGGAATTATGTTTATGTACCTTGGAAGATATTGTTGAAAAGAAGCAACCAATGTTACGAATTCCAAGAAAAAATGATATTTTGTATCAATTGGCAAGTGGATTACACTATTTACATTCATTAAAGATTGTTCATCGTGATATCAAACCCCAGAATATCTTAGTGGCAGATGCAAAGAGAAAGAAACATCATCATCATAAACAAAATGGACTGACTCAACACCAAGAAGAAAATAATGTTCGTTTGTTGATTTCCGATTTTGGATTATGTAAAAAATTGGATAATGATCAATCATCATTCAGAGCAACCACTCAACATGCAGCACTGGGCACTTCCGGTTGGAGAGCACCGGAATTATTATTACACCATGATTTGTCTGAAATATCACCAGATTCGATCTCATCGGTTCATTCACAAAATGGAACAAGTCACCCATCATCATCTTCTTCTTCTGGTAAGAGGTTAACCAAAGCCATTGATATTTTTTCACTTGGATGTGTATTTTATTATATTTTGACTGGTGGTTCACATCCATTTGGTGATCGTTATCTTCGTGAAGGTAATATAATAAAAGGTGAATATGACTTGAGACAATTATTAGAAAAATGTCCCAATGATAAATATGAATCCACTGATTTGATTTCAAGTTTAATCTCGGCAAATCCTTCATTAAGACCAAATACATCCAAGATTTTAAAACATCCATTGTTTTGGGAAAATCATAAACGTCTTGAATTTTTATTGAAAGTAAGTGATAGATTTGAGATTGAACGTAGAGATCCACCAAGTGAATTATTACTAAAATTGGAAGCTAGAGGTTATAAGATTCACCATGGGAATTGGCATAGAAAATTTGATCAAGAATTCTTGGATAATTTGGGCAAATATAGAAGATATAATCCTGATAAATTGATGGATTTATTAAGGGCCATGAGAAATAAGTATCATCATTTCAATGATATGCCTGAATCATTACAGGCAAAGATGAGGCCATTACCTGATGGTTTCTACAAATATTTCAATGATAAGTTTCCTAGGTTGTTGATGGAGGTTTATTATTGCGTGGAAGAAAATTTAAAGGATGAACATGTATTTACGGAATATTATGTCTAGTGTTTGTTTTTAATTGTTGTTTTTGTTTTTATCACCTTAGTATGATTATGATTATATATAATAATGGCATTTGTTTGGGTTTTTCATTATATTAAAGATTTATAAATTATGTACTGTAATTCTAGATTTTTATTTGAACGAGTAGTAACATCATTATCTCTATTTAGACTTCTTTGATGGTTTCGATATCTTACCTGACTTTCCTTTAGAAGGTTTTGCAGGCAATTTACCTTTCTTACTAGGTTTTGATGGTAATTTACCTTGTCTAGAAGGTTTTGGTGGTAAAGTAGCTTTCATATTAGGTTTTGGAGGTAGACTTGGTTCCTTTGAACGAAAGTGTGAATCATCTTCACTTGATTCACTATCTTTAAATTTTGTATGTGTTCCTTGGAAACTTACACCAGGAGTAGCATTATCACCATAAGTATCAGCACTCTTAATTCCTAATGTTTTCGATAAGAATTCTCTAGCTTTTGCTTCGTCGGCTGCCTTTTGTTTCTCGGAATTGAGGCTGCCTGATTCCAAAGCTTTATATCTGCCCATATAGGATTTCACTCTAGCTAGTTCTTTCTTGATTGGATGCGTATCGGTGTTTACACCGAGTGCTTTGAGATATGAATATATTGACGATACTAATACATATACGAAATTATTGTAAATCTTAATCCTTTCTTGAGGGGTTGTGGCGGGTATAGTTAATTCATCTAGGGATTTCTTGAGGATTGGTGTTAGCGAAACTTCCAAGTTGTCGATGGATATGTCTAAGGACTTTATGAATTGTTTAACGTTCTCTATATTTTCCATGATGTTAAGTGATTATAAGGAAACTCTTTTGAGGTGTAATGGAGAGGTAAACATAGGAAGGTTTTCTGCGATGGAAATAATTTTCCAAGATGAGGATGCGATATTTTTTTCTTAATGTAAATAATTTTATTATACTGACAAGAAGAAGCAGAAGAACTCACTATACACAAGAGATATAGACAAGATGGTTCAAAGAAACAGAGAAATCCTTACAGGAGGTAAGAAATATGCTCAACAAGCTAAAAGGAAACATGCAGTTGAAGAAGTTGTCTTTGATAAAGAATCACGTAAAGAATATCTTACAGGGTTCCATAAACGTAAATTACAACGACAAAAGAAAGCCCAAGATTATATCAAGGAACAAGAAAGATTAGCTAGAATTCAAGAGAGGAAGGAAATGAGAGAAGAGCGAAAGAAAGATTTAGAAAACCAATTAAAACAATTCAATGAAACAGTGAAGAAAATAACTCACCTTGATGACTCAAGCGATGAGGAAGAAGATGGCAAACAAGAAGACGAGGAATGGTCCGGGTTTGGTTCGAACGAAGAAAAGGATGGTTCTGAGGATGATGCTGATACCTTAAATGGGAATGCAAAGCCTTTGAAGGGAATATTGCATCATAAAGAAGTCTACACAGTCAATCAAGAAGAACTATTACCAGAAACCAATGCGATTATAGATGAAGAAACTACAGTTACTGTAGAGTCATTAGATAATCCAAGTATAGTAAGTGCCCAAGAAGCAAACATAGAAGCTCTTGCTCGTGCAAACAACGTTAATCTTGCCAAAGCGGAACAAGTATTAGAGAAATCGATCCAAAGAGCTAAGAACTATGCTGTGATTTGTGGGGTATCGAAACCTGAAAAGAAACCCAAGAAGAAGTTTAGATATTTGTCCAAGGCAGAACGTAGGGAAAATACCAGAAAGGAAAGATATAAGGGTAAATCAAAGGGAAAGAATTAATCACATCTAATCTCTTTGGAGTGACTTTATTGTATAATATTCATAGACGATTTCAATAAAATTGTATCTCAATTTTGCAGACTAAGCGCAACTGCTAATGTAAGTTTAATCAATGTTCTTTATAGCCATTTCCATTAGGTTTTGGAACTAAACAAAGAGCTACAGGGCAACGAGTGTATAAGATGTGAAGTATCGCGGCCGGGTAATTTGAACGTAATATTTCATTTTTTTTTCGCACGATGGATTGAGTACTTTAAGATGATCTTCGGCGAGAAAAGATTCTTAAAATTTTTCATTCAACTTTCTTTTCTTCTTCAATATCAACCACTACAACAGAAAGGATAATAAATGCCTTAAATCGTATGTGAACATTATAAAACTCAACAAGAGAAAGCAAAAATGGTTCATTCATTTCTTTTTTGATTACTATGATGACAAGCTGTCGCCCCAAACGGAGGATCCTTTTCAGGACTATGACCGATTCGATACATTAGCCAAACACTGAAAATTCTGATATATGTAATAAAAACTTAGAATGAAGCTTTCTTCCTTCTTCTGATAATGAAACTTTATTAAAATACTAACAATTGTTGCAGTCTTCAAATAGGGAAATATATAAACGACAAATATACATCGTTTCCATAACGAACATCTTCTTAAACTATTACATGTAGAATTTCTTTTCTCATCTTTCATTCTAAAGTGATTTATTGTTTCAAAGGTAAATATTTAACAAAGGATCTTTGGCTAATGATGCTTCCATGCTAATCATGAAATACTTCTTGATTAAAACATATCTTAAATCGTGTTCATCTTGAATAAATCAAGTGCACGTCTGAAGCCTTTGATCTTTTTGGGGAATATCCTTTGCTAACATACATCTTCTCTTATTTTGTTGAAAATAGGTATTTTGTTTATTGTCTCTTAATCCGCCCCCGGGCCACGCAGAAAAGTACCAAGTTTTTTTTCAACGGTCTGGACGGTGACGCTCGCCGTGCTAAGATTGTAGTGACACAGGCATTCCCGTAGGACAAAAAAATTCAGTGGAACGAAACCACATTTGAGCTGTCAACACTGTTGGTGAAACTCAACAAGGCTCAACTCTGCCTGTATTGGAAAAACCATGGATGACCAACAAGGGGAAACCCAACAAATATTATTTAACGACTTCATACCACTACCTTTCCGTATCCTATTTTTAATTCAGCTAGGTACTGGATTTTGGTTTGTTTTAGTTACATTATGTTTTAATTTCACTTCATTAAATATCTTACAATTATTAAACCTTTCATATACGTCACATAATTATGTTCAACTACATGAACGTGTTCTAACTAGTGTCGTGCATGGAGAATTCGCAACCACTGTTCCAGCGGAGAATCAGGAGAATAGTAGATTGATTCGAGGGATTTGGAACGATTTTAAACTGATTGCAATCGTGAATACTATTTGTTGGATCTTGTTTAAGTTAACGCCTGATCAAGAGTTGTTTAAGTTTGTGAAACATGGGATACCGGTTGTTGCGTTTGGATACTTGATCTATAGGTTGTTTTATAGGAGTACCAATACTTCTGGACAAATTAGAATGTATACCACGATGAAACGGATCTTATTAGGTGGGATTAATTCTATGACTATGAGAAGTAATGATATTTTGATTAGTGATAGTATGGTTTCATATGCAAAAGTGTTGAATGATTTTGGGTTATATATTTGGAATTATTATTATTCATCGGAGATTCCATATAATTATCATTTAGAATTCGGAATCTTATGTATTCCAATTGCAATTAGAATGAGACAATGTTGGGTCGAATATAAGTTAACTAATCAGGACCAACATATATATAATTTGATTAAGTATGCCACTGGATTAGGTCCACTTTTGGTTAATGTACTTATCAAAAGCACATTATTGCACGATAATGATTCGGGAGAGAGAGAGATTTTAATGAATAAGTTAACTAACTTAAATAGATGGTGGTATTTCACTCTGGCCATAAATTCAACTTATTCATTCATTTGGGATGTTAAAATGGATTGGAATTTGGAATTATTTGATTTCTTATTTCAATTTAACAAGAAGACCAATCCATATTATCGATTCCAAATATTAAGAAATCGATTAGCATTCGACAATAAGGCAATATATTATATTATCATAGTGGTTGACTTCATATTAAGGTTTATTTGGATCTTGAAATTATTTATTATAAATGAAGAAATGAAGATGGATAACATTCCATACTTGTATATATTTTCAACATTTTTATTTGGATATGATGCTTATTCTTTTGGGTATACAGTAATTGAATTATTAGAGATTTATAGAAGATGGTTCTGGTGTTTTATAAAACTTGAATCAGATTGGATTAAATTGAAAATTAATGAATCTGAATATGAAGAAATTGAATTGAAAGAACCAATAGGAACTAAGGAAGGATAACACATTTTATAGAACTGAATATAGCACATACCCATACAATTCTTTTATAGACCTTTTTTTATATAAAACCATTTTTTTAAAAATAAATAAACTTCATTTATTATAAATATACATTACTTAAAGGGATTCATTGCTGTTGTTGTTATTGCAAAAGAGCCCAAATGAAAACAAGTTCAAAATTTCTTGTTTGATTAAAAACTTTATAAACTCCGTGAAAATACCATGAACTGAAAAATACTTGAATGACTATAATCTGATTATTCTGCTGAGTTCTTTTCTAACCATTTTTCAGCAGCATTTCTCCATGCTAAATCTGTTTTTGGACTTAATCTACTATCGGAAATAAATCTATATTTATATGGGGATTTAATGAAAAGATAAATGGCTACAACAGAGCCCATTGCGGCAAGCGCGCTTATACTTAATGGAACAGGTTTAGCCATTCTTAATGTGTTATCTGTATTTCTGGCTTAATATGAAAATAAAGGGTGTATTCAAGTTGATGGTAGATTTTTTCCATGGTACAGTAATAAAATTTTTGGTGGTTTTGGTTGGTTCACGGATTTTGAACTTATTTACACGACTTAATCTTCTGCTTTATTGGCATTTTGGGGGAAACTTGATTTGGATGCAAAATGTCATCTCAATGAATTTGGTAACATGTTTGCCATTAAAGGAACTTTTGTAAGTTAAAGAAATTATGCTACAGAATGTAGCATTGTATTAACCTTTAGTTAGAGACTAGGATTATGTTTTCCATGGATAAGGAATCTACTAGACGGACTTTGATAGGAAGCAGGGCCCACTCTACAATGATGATCATATGTTCATTGAAATGGTAATCAACAAGAGTGCATGCGAGTTTTTTAACAAGTTATCTATAACATGTATAGCTACTCTGGTGGTTGATAAATTATCCTCCCCTTATGGAATTATATTCTGATTACATAATAAATCAACTCCGATTACCTAATCAATCTTTTTTTCTTTTGATGTTTTATTTTTCTCTTTAAAAATTTTTCAAAGTAACCATCTATGAAGTATTAACCAGAGTGATTCAATAGACTTATTCACTTTAGTTATCATTTAAGGCATCCTACAATGTTAAGACACGCCACCAGATCAGTCGCCAGGGCAAATGTCTTGAGGAACTCCATTTCTTCCCTTAGAACTGCTACTATAATTCCCAAAGTTGTTCGTTTCCAATCCACATCTAGCAAAGCACCTGCTTCAGACTCTGTCTATACTGATGCCGAAATAGTGAGAAAAACATTACATTTCCGTAGAGTCGATGAAAAGGATGCTCGTAAATCACCACATTTGATTGCCCTTCATGCTAGATTAAATTTACCTGAATCATTCCAATATTCAACCTTATCCCAATGTCTTAATTTATTGAAGAATGATGGTGGATTAGCTAGTAATTATGGTTTACAAGCTTTAGGTAATAGCATAATGGCTTATTATGTGAATGAATATTTATGTACTCATTATCCTCGATTACCTTTGGTTATTCATCAAGCTTCTGTTGATGCTTTAATGGGAGTTTCTGTCCTTTCTGAAATTGGTCAATCTTGGGGGATTGAAATTGATGAACCAACTAAATTAGATAAAATGTTAAGTGAACAAAGAGATCATATTCAATTAGGTAAATTAAGATATGAAACCGATATTGCAAAACGTACCAAGATTACCGAAAGTGGTATAGAAGAAGTAAATGGTCCTGGTGCACACTCTACCACTCAACAAGATAAAGCATTCGCGTCGGTTGTAAAAGCAGTTGTTGGAGGGTTATATACACATGCTGGCGAAGATGCAGCTAAGCAATTCATAAATGATCATATCTTATCCAGAAAATTACTATTGGAAGAAATGTTTGAATTCCAACGTCCATTTAGAGAATTAGCAGATGTTGTTAAGAAAACTGGATCAGATGCTGAAGTTACTATAAGATTAATCGCTGAAACTGGTAGAAAAACAGTTGCTCCTCAATTCTTATGTGGTGTTTTTGCTGGAGATGAACAATTGAGTGATGCAATTGGTGGTTCTTTGAATGAAGCTAAGACTAGAGCTGCTGTTAATGGGTTGATGTCTTATTATTTATATTCTCCTATTAATTCTGAAGGTGAACAAATTAAAGTACCAAGTGATAAAGAGTATAAAGTTGAGGGGATCATCGGTGAAGGTGACATACATTAAAGAACCATGTAGATAGAACAAATTTAGGAGAAGATAAGTACAAGTCTGTATATAGGAATCGTCTTTTATTAATAAACGAAATCATAATCAATTTGCCTGTTTCTTCTCATTATTTATGCAATGGATTTATTAAATGAAACGAAAGAACTTCACTTTCTGCGGCTTCCATTTTCAAGCTTTAGTCTTTACCTGCACTAGCCCTCTGTAGAGTTCCATCCATAGAGCGTCGACGGCATTAATACAGTCTTGTCGGACATCTGGGTGAGGTACTCGGATGGTGTAAGAATAACTTTGCAGTGTACAATGGGTTGCAAAAAAACGTTTTTCGTTTCCCTTTTTATTAACAACCATCTTCATGATAGCTTCAATTAATGATTATTATTACGAACACATAGATTTTAACTATAATATATAAACAAAAGAAACACACTATGAAAGAGAGGGAATAAAGCTTCTGTTCCTATGAACATTTAGCTTATGAATTTTGGTAAACATTAATCTAATTTTCTAAAACTTAAAAATTTACTTGGAACATGCACCATTTAATGGTTTATCAGCCTGAGCATCTGTCATGTTATAATAACATCTAACTTGAGCAGGAACATTTTCCATATCTTTCAAACTTAAAGTAGAATCTTGTTGTTTCATAACATCTAAAACACAAGAGTATTTGCTGGCTTCATTGGAACAATCTTCAGCATTAGCATAAGAAACAAATTCAAATCCACATTGACTAGTTTCTAATTTGAATTCTTCATTGAAACAGAAGTTATCTTCTCTTAAGATAGTTCTCTTGAACAAACCCTTCATGTCACAGTTCTTATAGGCAGAATTGTCATAATTGAATTTATATTTACCAGTCTGTTTAATTTCATGACTATTTAAGTTAACATGAACGATTTCACCATTTTTATGAACAGTGGTTAAGACATCATAATATTCACCATTATTGGATGGTTCACTGTTTTCTTTTAAATGTTGTAAAACTAAATCAGTTGGTGGTAAAATGGAATATCCGGATTCATCACGTAATAATTGGAAACCCAATGAAGATGAAATGGATAAAAGAACAGTAGTAACGAATTTAACAGAAACCATAGTTATTGATTAAACTTATAGTGAGATAGAAAGAAGAGAAAAGAAGAGAAAGAAAGAAAGGATGAAAAATGAGAGAATTTATTATAATTTTATAATCTTATTTTAACATTAGAAAGGGATTGAGTGTGATGGGGAGAAATAGAAAGAGTGAGTAAAGAGAGACAATGTAATTAAATGTAAGTGATGGAAAAGATAATAAAAAAAGTTTCCCCGAAATAAAATTTTATTCTTTCGTACTTAATTGTGATTGGTTTAATTTTAGAAACTGATGCAAGTGGCTTATGATTAAAACTGTATTTTTGTCTTCTTTAACCAGAAAGATTTTGAACCTTTGATTTGAATCATATGATACATGAAAGTTCCTGTTGTAGCTCTAAGTACTTCCATGTTTTATTCATTTTGCATATAGCTTGGTTGAACCATAATAGAAGGTGATAGATCTTCTAGATAACTTTCTTTCCTTGGCAAAGAATAAATTCATTCCAAGAGAAAAAAAATTTTAAAGTTCGCTTCAATTCCCGAATTAAGGAGAATTATTTTTTTTTCGTTCTATTTTCTTTCATTACTGGCTAATGCAAATTTCATTGGTTTTAATTATTAAGCAGATCCATTCTTCTTGAAACATTCTAGCGATTATTCACATCTATCGTAAACCTGAGAATCGTAACTTCTTCTCTCATAGCATCAACCGTACCATAAACCTAGAAACAGTCTCTATTATTAGAATCTAGAAATTATCAGGTGACACAACCGTAAATCGTAAATAATAATTTGGAAATGACGATGATGTAATAATAAAATTAATAGTTCCGATTAGCTCTCTGTCTTAATTGCCAACATTTCTAACTCTTCATACTATCTGCACTTCAATATCTGTTTGATTTCTCCACTTCTTGTTGATGTACAAGTATGCATTGCTTGGTGAATATTGTTATCATCATCTTCGCAGCCTCTTTCGTATCCTGACAAAAGCAACTTTCTAATGTATTTTTTTATTATGACGTAACTATGTCCTGGGTTTTCCAAAAGACGTTATTCGTACAAGCAAATTGAAAGAGAACGATTTATGAAACGTACGAGAGGCTATGATTTACGCAAATACATATATTTTTATACTTTTCAAACTTAATTACTCTATCCATTCTGATCACGACATCACCTGGCCAACTCTCTAATAACTAAGATCCAAGACATATCTTCCCATAATCTTACGTTCTTCCATCAATTCAAATACTTGACGTAATTGACGCATACCAATAATCTTAATTGGACACTTAATCAAACCACGACCGAACAACTCGATAGCTTCTTGTGTTTGCTTTCTATTACCAACTGCTGATCCTTTAACGGAATAACAGAAAGCAACAGTATCATGAACATTCACAGAAAGATTGGATTCACCACCTGGAACTCCAAGAAGAACAACAGTACCTCTTGGTCTAATAAAATCTAACGAGTCTTGCATGGCACTAGTTGCAGTTGATACATTGAGAACAGCATGGGCACCACCTCCAGTTACAGATTTGACAGTAGCAGCTACATTCTTTTCCTTAGCTGCATCAACATAAGCATCAACTCCTAATTCCTGAACGAATGCTTCCTTTTCTTCACCACAATCGACACCAACAACTCTGAACCCCATAGCTTTGGCATATTGAACAGCAAGAGAACCCAATCCTCCGCCAGCACCGCTGACACAAATCCATTCACCAGCTTTACGTCCACTACTTTGCAAAGCAGCATAAACACTAACCCCGGCACATAAGATAGGCGCAACCGAAGCTAAATCAACACCCTTGGGAATCTTTGGTGCTTGAATTGCATCAGCAACCGCATATTGTTGGAATGATCCATCATGGGTATATCCAGAAACTTGTTGATCAAGACAACATGGATCGTCCCCGTCTTGACAATAATCACAGTGTTGACAAGTACTATAAAGCCATTTGACCCCAGCATAATCACCAATTTTCCATCCTTGGACATTTGAACCCATGGCGACGACTTGTCCAACACCTTCATGACCACCTACAAGGGGCATGGAGGCTTGTCTTGCCCAATCACCTTTCCAGGCGTGGAGGTCGCTATGACAAACACCAGAGTATTTCATTTTGAGAAGGAGTTCGTTGGGACCTGGTTTGGGGACTGGGCGGTCTTTGAATTGGATTGGTCCACCTGGGGTTTCGAAGACTAAAGCTTTTTGAGTTTCTGGAATTGCCATTTTTGTAAGTGTTTTTGAATTGTTTTGATCAGATCGTGGTTGTAGATTATTATTTCTAGTTGAAATAGATCATCTGGAAACGGTGTAATATTTATATCATATAAGATATTGTGGGGAGTAGTATTATCTCAAATCATACGATATCTTCGCGGAAATACAATGGGAGTTTCCAAGCTATCTTGCTTCAAGAAACAGGCGTTAAACTTTATCCGGTAATATTCTTTTGATTGGTAAGCCCCGCAGGTTATTGAAATCTTCATTGGCATAAGTCCGTAAAAAAGCCAAGAAATACAATGATTGTGGTAGGACACATTCTTGTGGAACTTAGACAGCGTAGATCTGTTTCCCACGACAGTGAGCAGCTATATCTAATGTGTATATATGTCCTTACATTTAGACCCAATGAGGGCCGTAAAAACAGCTAGCTACAAATGTCAATTACTGCAAAATTTCATATTGGCTCTATTGTTTGGAATATCCGAACTGCGAAATATTGCATGAAAATTTCGTGGCATAATTTTCTGGGCCAATTCACATTTAATGTACACGTTCCCTATATGAGTTTCGCTTCCTATGCAGTTTGACCCCAGAAGAAAAATGACGGCCGATCCAGAATGGAAGTTTCTGTAGATGGAAACAGGAATATTGGGACCTAAATACGAGTGCGGAAAATGTCAATGGGTGAAATGTATTGTCAAAGCCCAAGCTGGTAAATCCGTCGCTAATGTGGTATTGATCCGTAGTTTGTATTGGACAAACTCTTTGGAAATGAAGCAAAACCCCAAATAAGAATGTTCGTTGTCAATACACCTTTTGGAATGGAAGTGGTTCGTTTCTCAAAGAAATCTTCAATTCGATTCATTCGAATAATTTGAAGCACAAAGCAGTACAAATCAAGGGTTAAATGCTCTTTTACTTTTGTGTATGATTTATTATGTAGATGTAACAGATGTGGGCTTTGAAATGAATAATTTCTTCTATTTTCAATTCTCAATTTGGCAATTAAACTGAATTAAATATGACTCTCATTTGGTTTGCTTCAATTTTCAAATGGGAATAGTTAATCTTCATTTCAAACTGTAATTCCTTCTAGATAAGATTCCTGTGATTTTTCTTCCAATTATATTCGAAATTCAATAAAACGATTTAAGCTTCGTGGAACTTACCAAGAAACCTTGACACTCGTCAAACCAAGAAGAGAAGACTTTCTCTACTAAAGACACAATGAGACAACTAAAGATACAGGGAGCTATAGGTACAAGCATTTAGGGTTCATTAGTTGGTTACATTTGCAACCAAAAAATGTCGTAAAAATATCGCTTTATACCTTTACATACGACATGCGACCTTCAAATTTGCGATGGAGTTCTGATAAAGAGACGTAATTGTCACCATACTGATATGAATATTGGAGAGCAGCTTGCTATTGGTTATCTTGTAGGATGGGTTTAGTCTTCCATTTTGGTAGGCTTTGTATGCTTGGTATGAACTTTAACAAACAAAGAGGTTTGTTTGTCAGTTGAGAAATGAATCATGTGCGATGACTGATAACTAATTCATTAAATAAAAACGGAGTCAAAAGACAGAGAAGAAAAAAAATAATTTCATCTCATTTCATTTTTTTTTTCATAATTTTCCAAATTCAATCTTCAACTCTTCTTCTTCTTCTTCATTGATCATTCATCAAAATCAAAACAATGTCCAACTTAAACATTCTTGTCATCGGTAACGGTGGTAGAGAACATGCGATTGTTTGGAGATTAGCTCAATCTTCAACCGTATCTAAGATTTATGTTGCTCCAGGTAATGGAGGAACTGCAACCTCATCATCAAAAATTATCAATGTTCCTGAATTATCAAGTTCTCCAAAGGATTTCGATAAATTACAAAAATTTGCGTTGGAAAATTCAATCAATTTAGTTATTCCAGGCCCTGAACAACCTTTAGTCGATGGTATTACTACTGTTTTCACTAAAGTTGGTATTCCAGTATTTGGACCATCTGCCAAGGCAGCAACCATGGAAGGCTCTAAAGCTTTCAGTAAAGAATTCATGGACCGTCACAATATTCCAACTGCACAATTTAAAAACTTCACTAATGTTGAAGAAGCCAGAAAACATATTGAAACTGTTGATTACAAGATCGTCTTAAAAGCAGATGGTATTGCTGCTGGTAAAGGTGTCTTGATTCCAGAAACTAAGGAAGAAGCATTACAAGGATTGAATGAAATCATGGTTGATAAGAATTTCGGTGATGCCGGTAATGAAATTGTCATTGAAGAATATTTAGATGGAGATGAATTAAGTATTTTGACTATTACTGATGGTTATAGTTTTTTCAATTTACCAGCCGCACAAGATCACAAACGTGTTGGAGATGGTGATAGTGGATTAAACACTGGTGGTATGGGTGCTTATGCTCCAGCTCCGATTGCTACTCAAGAAGTATTAAATAAAATCGATGCCAATATTATCAAACCAACCATTGATGGAATGAGACAAGATGGATTCCCAATGTGTGGTGTCTTATTCACTGGTATCATGTTGGCTCCAAATGGTGAACCAAAAGTATTGGAATATAACGTTAGATTCGGTGATCCAGAAACTCAAACTGTTTTACCTTTATTAAGTGATGACACTGATTTAGCTCAAGTTATGTTAGCAGCAGCTGAGCACAGATTAGATTCCGTAGTAGTGAAAACCAAGGAAAACATGTATTCTACCACTGTCGTCATGGCTGCTGGCGGATATCCAGAATCTTATGGAAAAGGTGACGAAATCACCATTAAGGAACCATTGCCTGCCGACACCTTCATTTTCCATGCTGGTACTGGAGTCAACAACGGTAAAGTTGTTACTTCAGGTGGTAGAGTTATCGCTTCTACTGCTATTGCATCTACATTAAGAGAGTCCGTTGACAAAGCCTACATTGGTGTCGATCATGTCACTTTCAACAAGAAATACAACCGTAAAGATATCGCTCATCGTGCATTCCGTGCTGCCGACAAGCAACAAAGTCAAGGTGGTGTCACCTATGCCGAAGCAGGTGTCTCCGTCGATAATGGGAATTTATTAGTTGAGCAAATTAAAGCCAAAGTCAAATCTACTGCCAGATCTGGTGCTGATTCTGATATTGGTGGATTCGGAGGTTTATTCGACTTAAAAGCTGCTGGTTACAATACTGATGAAACCTTATTAGTTGCCGCCACTGATGGGGTTGGAACTAAATTACGTATTGCCCAAATAATGAATATTCATGATACTGTAGGTATCGATTTAGTCGCCATGAATGTTAATGATTTAGTTGTCCAAGGGGCTGAACCATTAATGTTTTTGGATTATTTTGCAACTGGGAAATTAGATATTGAAATTGCTGCTAAATTCGTCAATGGGGTTGCTGATGGTTGTATTCAAGCTGGATGTGCATTGGTTGGAGGTGAAACTTCAGAAATGCCAGGGATGTATGACGAAGGCCATTATGATACAAATGGGACTGCTGTAGGTGCTGTTACCAAATCTAAGATTTTACCAAGAATAAGTTCAATGAAAGCAGGTAATGTTTTGATTGGGTTAAGATCTGATGGGGTTCATTCTAATGGGTTTTCCTTAGTGCGTAAGATTGTTGAAATCTCAGAATACGAATATCAATCAGTTGCTCCATGGACAAATAGTGGTAAGAGTATTGGAGAAGAATTATTAGTCCCAACTAAGATTTATGTCAAACAACTATTGAGATCAATCAATCAAGATCTTTTATTAGGTTTGGCTCATATCACCGGTGGTGGATTGGTTGAGAATATTCCAAGAGCATTACCTAAAAATTTACAAGCTAAAGTAGATATGAATACTTGGGAAGTTCCTGAAATTTTCAAATGGTTTGGAAAACAAGGAAAAGTTCCATATGATGATATTTTAAAGACATTCAATTTAGGTATTGGTATGGTTTTGATTGTTGAAAAGGAAAATGTTGAACAAGTTCTTACAAACTTGAAACAAGATGGAGAACCAGATGCCGCAGTTATTGGTGAATTGGTGGAAAGAACCGAAGGACAACCTGGATGTGTTGTTGATAATGTTGATGGATTATATTAAAGTTTGTAATAGTTTTTTGTAGTACAATAATAAATGATTAGTTTTTTTTACAAAGTGGATGCATAGACATGTTTTATCTTTGCGAGCAGATCATTCTTGGAATTGGTTTGCATTTTTTATAATTACTATTTGACAAAGAATATAGTAATAAACTATTTACGACGGGCTGACGGATATACATTTCTAGAAACAGTTGGAAATTGACTGACGTAGAGAACTAACCCATTAGAGAACTCGTACAAAACGAATACAGTTCAATTCTGGACTTATCCCGTGTCCACACCCGAACAGATTAGTTTCCTGGTATCAAAATTTAGGAGCATTCTTCTACTTGAAACATTGTTGGAATCACCATAAACTTTTGTTAATTAAATATTTTATTTTTATTGTTACACAATAGATTTGTACGTATTGTGATGTTTTAGCCGAATTCCTCGTATTTTTTCAGTTTACGAAGGCTTAGATTATGACAGATCAAAAATAAAACATTAGAAACTGTACTTCATTTCTCTAGACTGTGTAGTATTAAATTTATTTTAAGAAGTATCATAATAACACGTGTTCAAACAGTTTCATAATTGTCTCAAAATAGCATCACTTTTATTGCTTTTTAAAAAATTCATAGGCTACAAATTGTAAACACCAAACCACTTAAACCCATATTTTTTTCTTGTAATCAGTATTCAAGATCCATTATGGCCAAGAATAAACTCTTGACATATTTTGGCAGTGTTGCAGAAAAAATGAAACCGATGATCTTTCCATTAGCAGATTCTCCAGATTTATGATGTACAAGCACAGAAACCTATATCTACCATAATGGACTGAGATATGTTCTGAAAGCATGTACGAATATATAATTTGTTCTTTTTACTATTTTACTCACAAATCATCACCAAAGAAGATGAATGTGATAAATTTAAATTAGTATGAATAATGCATCAAGAAAAAAATTGAATAGATTTATTAAACAGGAAACATGGCTGGAAGAATTAACACACACCCGACGGTTTCATAAATGTAACATCACGTCTGAAGAGTTAATATAAATATTCATTGGAAGAGCTCAAAGTATTGCTTTTATCTACCGGGGTCCTGATGGTTTTTGATTTGTTACAGGGGACATTAGTGTAAATAAAGAAGGCTGTCAACTATTCTATACTTTGCTTCAAACCTTCCTCAGCAATAAATATAGATTCATATGCCTTCTTCAGAAATCGGACGTATCAGAAGGAATAGCGGCTTGACCACTCCCTTGACTTTTCGAAGAACAAAGCTCACTAGATTGATATTCCTCACAGCATGTTTTATGAATCTCATATATTTCTTATTTTATGACCACTATGACCACTTAGACTCATATTTGCCACATTCCAAATTTCCCTTGTCCAAAGAAACTATCCATCAGTATAAGCAAAAGATTACCCAACGTAATTCATTTGAGAAATCAATTCAGAAAAAATTCAGAGAGATTGAATTAAATCCTGAGAGATTTCATGTAGCATTTGCTCAAGAGATAGAAGAAAAACTTTCAATAAATCTTAAACCATTTACTAAACTGGTTGAAAATGAAAATAGTTGGATAAACCAAGATACGTTGTTCTATGATCCTAGATTTACTTTATCTATGTATTTACATGAATTAAAATTACAATATGCAAACAAGAAAAGAGAAGATAAAGGAACAAACGAGGTAGTCGTGTTACCTTTCCATTGGGCGGATTGGATCGATTTAACAATCTTGAATAGGGATTTAGCTGCTCCTTTGGATACAAGAATTAGTTGTAGTCATATTCAAAGTGTTACAACTAAGAAACCAGACACTAGTTATTTTTGTCGTGATAATTCGATGCTTTCCCACGGTCAAATCGAGCAGATGGGGTTTAAATCTTCATCACAATTACCGGGGTTTATTATCCATGACCATTGTGCTCATGACCACGAACCCCCTCATGATTATCGAATTTTGGAAGCAAAATCATATGCAATGACGACTATGAAAAAGCCGATGAATGTGGTTATACTAAACGGACAGGAAGGAACATATGAGTTTCAAGTCAATCCAGATATAAATCAACGATTAGCTAGTTCAGAAATTGTTGAAAACTATATTAGATCGAATAAAGTGAAGAATTTGGAAAAAGCAAAACTCAATCATTTGAAGGTATGGAACCAACTTAAATCAAAAGTACAACCTACAACTTTAGACCGTTTTGACGGAGGATTTGAAAGCTACATCAAGATGACCTCTAGTTTGAAACACACAAGCCAACCCCTCAAGTTCCCATTAAAGCAAAGCATGTTTTCCTATCCAGCTCCCATCACCGAACAAATGGCCCAACTTGAACAAAAACAATCTGAAACAGGATTATCTGTCCGTGAACAAGTTTACTATGAAGGTTTGCTAGCTTGTGCTACATATCAAATACCAGATGAACCTAACTATTTGCACCTGGCAACCTTCATTCGCAACGATGAACGAAATCGTGATGGCGAGAAGGGGTGGCATTATGATTGGAGATTCTTCAATGGAGCATTGGAATACGATGTAGATGGATGGACTGAACAAGAAAGAAACCATCGTGCGAGCATCATAAAGGAAAGGATATTAAGGGCTTGGTTTAGGTTTACTATTCAAAAAGGGATAATTAGCTGGATACAACATGGTCCTGTATTGAGTTGGTTTTGGAATGGGTTATTGTTTCCTATTGACAAAGATATAGATATCCAATTACCCATATCGGAAATGATCCGTCTTGCAAAGGATTATAATTATACTCTTGTGGTTGAGGATCCTAGTGAAGGATATGGAAAATATTTGATTGATGTGAATACATATATCCATCATCGAGAAATCAATGATGTCAATTATGTAGAGGGAAGGTTTATTGATATAGATAGTGGGTTATATATCGATTTGACGGCTTTGAGCAAACTGAAATCGGAGTTGCCTCAAGGGTTTTGGGACACGGCGATGGGACAATTAAGAAAACGTAAAAAACAGAAAAATGATCAAGTTGAAATATATAATGAACGCCGGAAACATTTTTATAAATTTAAACAATTAAGTCCATTAACATTTTCCCAATTACAAGGTGTGCCTGTTTTTATTCCTCCTAAAGTTGTTTATAAATTAGTGTTTGAATATGGTGAAGGGTTTCAAGAGCCAGAATTTCATGATTGGTATTTCGTACCTAGATTGAATTTATGGATTAAGAAACATGATTTAATTCCAGTTTTCGATCCTGAAGATATCACACTGAATGGAAAAGTTAACAAGGATAAATTACTATATAAAGTTCGACGAATGACAGATGAGGAAGTTCTTAAATTATTAGAGAATGATGAAATTTTGGTAGAATATTATTTGACTAAAGATTTAACTGAGTTGCACACTAAGGAGATGACATATTTGTTTGATAATCTAGGAAGAGATAATATATTATTAGGTGAAGAAGAGCAAGCTATGAAGGAGTATCGGGATTTGACTAGACAATTTAGCTTTAAGAAACCTTTGAAAAAGTCATTGTATTCTTATGAACAAAGTATTGAGAGACGAGCAAAGGAGAGAAACAATTGATATTTCTAACCTATATTGATCATACTTTGACATTAAAATTGCAATTGTTATTTTCAGATTCAAAGCCGTTTATGTCATGACCTTTGATGTCATTGTTAATTGCATGCCAGTTTACATGATATTTGTTAAATTATTGCAGATATATTAGTTACATATGGAAGTAAATATAAAGATATAAGTAAATCAATTCTTGCATTCTTCCTACTCTGGCTTCTACCTCCCTGAAAATATTTTCAAAGCCATACCGGGGTGTGTAAAACTATGAAAATATGCTTGTGTCACCTGATTTCCAACTGAACCCAGGAAATATGTTGTAACAAGAAGATAGTCGTCAATTTTTTAGACTACTAAGCATTATTCTCGTAACGAATGGGCGACGACGAGAGTAAATATTCTTCACTACTCATCTAATACAGCTCTTAAGTAGTATATAGTTGAACTAAGCGAATTAATTTGTATTTATACCAAGCTATTCTCAATTCAAGAGAAAAGAGATTTCTCACTTATTTTTAGTTTATTTTAATATACACTTTTCTTTTAGAATTATCGATTCTTATTTTTAAATCTAATTTCAATAAAAGAAATGATATTATTTTATTATATTTCAATTACAATAGAAAGTTGTAACGAATAACTAGTTAATTGAACCATAAGAACAATAACAGAGTTTTAAAAAACTGTTAATAAATTAGAACGTAGACTCGGTACCAACAAATCTCAAATCTTCAACTAATCGGAGAAAATTCATTTAGCTCAACAGATATCCTATAAGTTTGTTAGTATAATTGTTACTAAATAAAATACATACCAGTGACGTAATTTGGTGACGTCTAAGTTATACCGGAAATCCGAGACTCTGGATTATTTCCTACAACAAATTAATTATGAAATAAACATTTGATTACTTCAATAATATCTGGCGTGATTGAAATTATTTTACCTTATAATTCCTGACTCACTTCGTGTGTCGTCATTCATTTTTCTCAACAACTATATATATTCAAAGGAAATGCTCAAAGTTCTTTTATCTGGTTCTTGATTTGCTACAAGGGACATTAGTTTTGAAAAAGAAGACTGTTAACTATTTTATATTTTGCTTCAAACCTTCCTCAGAAATAAATATATATTCATATGCTTTCTTCAGAAATTGGAGCTACCAGAAATAATAGCCAAGTTCCTGGCTTGACCACTCTCGTGACTTTTCGAACAACAAAGCTCATTAGATTGATATTCCTCA